CACATTTCCATCTGCAAGCTTAAGAAGGGGGGGAGGAAAAAAAGCATCTTCTGAAAAAGGGTTTGTGGCAGACAAATCTGTCAGACTCAGCCGTCTTGGCTTACATGCGGGGTCCTGTGCACAGCTCCTCTTGGGGCTGGGCAGGACTTAGTGTCCGTGTACCCAGTTGAGGAACTAAGAGTAAAATGGCTTGTGCCCATCTGCTCGACAAAGAGGAGCTCCCAAATCCCCGAGAGAAATAACAAACGTGTAAGCGAGCCGTCCTGGTGGGGGTCTGCAGAGCGCCCATGTGGGCACTTGCAGTGGAGACCTGGGAAGCAACCAGACTCATACAGGCACAGAAAAATGGCACCGGGAGGTCAGCTCTCTGCAAAAGTAGTTGAGGCTCCCAAGCCAATGAAAGGCTTCAGGCCCTGAGCGAGCAGTCAGCCCATCAGGGGTTATTTATTGATGTAGTTATTAAAAAAGAGGGCAACTGACAAGATGGGAAATGGGGAGTGCGTGAGCTGGTTTGGGCCTGGGAGGGAACATTTGCTCAGGCAGAGGCAGCGCAGGGATGAGGAGGGTGCCCGGCAACGAGGGCGGCCAAGCCACCAGCCCTGCAAAGTGACGCTTGCCTGCCTCAAGGCGAGCAGAAGGAAGGGCCGAGATCCCAGGGCGTGCTGAGGGGAGCGACCAGTTGCTCCTTCAAGCCCTGTTTTAAATGAGGCTTGTCCCAGGTCAGATGGAGGATGAGGGCTGGTGAGGGAAGAGCCCTGCTGCAGACCCATCGCACAGAGGTGTGGCAGCCTAATTACCTAATTGCATGCACTTGGCACTGACCCCAGCAAAAGCAGAGCTGGGTGAGTGCCAGGAACATTCGAAAAAGCTCCTTAGTACCCCGAAATAATAGTCCTTCCCAGCTGGAAAAGCAGCACGAGCAGTCTCACAGAAACGGGTTTGGAGCAGAGCTTAGGGGAAGGAAAAGGCTTCCCCTCAGCCTCCAAGAAATGCGGTTTCCCTTCTCCTTTGAGTAACCACCTTCGTACCCTGTCAGGGTTTCAGCGGTCACATTGAGTGATCGCACAGTGTTCAAACTCCTCCAAGCCAGGATAATTCCTTCGCAACATGGTCTGGCTCCAAGGCTGGAGAGGAGCAGAGCAAGGAATGCACCCGCAGGTTGGAGAGGAAGAAAGGCACCAGGTCAGGGGAAGGAATGTCCTGTCTGAAAATAGCTGGCAGGACTTTATTCGGGTTGCAACAAATAGGAACACGCATCCCAGACCTTTAAATCTGGGTTGTGCTATGCTATTAGGCAAAACAGCTTTCAGAAGCTGGCACTCACAAACCAGGTTTTAAAACACTTGGGAGAATTTTTAAGAGCAATGAATGCGTGGAATGATTTGTTTCTCCATGCCAGCTGTTTCTACACCAACTTTACTACTGTGTTAAAAGTGATTGAAACAAGTTAAAAAATCTCTTTTGGTTTGTGTCAGCTGGTGCCTTCAGGACGTCACCTTGAAACTGCGGGACGGTCAGAATATTCCAGTTTACCACTCCCCAGTGGAAAGCATCGGTGTGCAAGAAGGCTAAAAAGCAAAGGCAGCTGTTTCTCCACCTCCCATTGAGCTGAAGGAGCCATTAATCGATTGCATCCCACTGTGTCTGTGAATGTACACAGTTGTCACAAGTGACAATTTCACTTAAGTGGGTGCTCTCAAGGTGATTTTCTCTCTAAGACTGACCTCATCGTTGTCATAATTGTTATTTCTTTCTTTTGCTGGTTTATTCATGTGTTCAGCAGAAGCCTGAAATAAATACCTTGCAAAAGACTTGCTGTTCCAGAGAAGTCTGTGTGTGCTGGTATTATGCATTTGAAATAAATGAACAAACTGCCATGAAACTGAACGTTTCTACAATTGCAGACCGAAGTCAGGACAGTTGGGCTGCTCTGTCACAGCTAGAAGACTAAGTCAGCTTCTCAAAGTGATTCCCTTGCTGCGCTGGTTTTCCCCCATTTCTCAGCAAGGTATCACCTACAGCAGGAGGGACAAAGCAGCGAAGGTGAAGCTCAGCAGCAGCCCCCTCCACTGCTGATGAGCAAGTCACGTATCAGGTAGATTTGCACCCTCACAGTTATCATTAAAAAGCTCGTGAGATGGCAGAGGCCACTCATCGTTAAGGAAGAGGCTTGCTGCTCACACCGCTCATGCTGACGGTCAGTACAACAGAAGAAGCCACTGTTTCACACAAGCACTGCCTGAAACAAATCTGTGAGAGCACCTTCACTCTCCCACCTCTGCTTAGGGAAGAAAACACTCGGGAGGTGCAGGACAGGTAAAATGTTGCCATGGTTCAGTCAGGCCGCGACAAGAGATTTTAATTGTGCCTTGATTCTGTCAATGCAGCAGCTCAATCAACAGAGGTAGAGTTGCTCGTCACAAGGAGCAAGTTGAGGAATAAGCAAAAAAACCCCAATCCCGCATTCAAATAAATTGCAAAGCTTAAGGCACAGCCCGAGACAGTGAAGAGACACAAGTAACTGTCCTGCCTTCATGGCTTGGAGCAATATGCAAGCCACTAAGAATTTCCAGAAGAAAGAGTATCTTGAATTTATTGTAACAGAGCAGGTTAGTCAAGATGCAGCTAGTGAAAGCCCAGAGCTTACACCACTCAATTCCCTCTCCTCTCTCCCCCCATCCAAATTGGAGTCCTAGAAATCCACCAGAGGCACAGGCAATGCAAAGCTTCTCAAGAGTAACGAGTATGAGATAGAGAAGTGACAGCTGGAGAACAGGCGGCATCATCGCGTCATACCAATGTGTCTCTAAGTCAAGTCTTTAAACCTGGAGAAGGAAGAAAGCAAGAGGTGGAGCTGGAAGCCAGCAGGTCACTGGAGTGGGTCAAGGGAAAAGTCACATTCAAATTCCTACCTTTGTTTTACTACTCAGTAGTCAGAAAACACAGAATTTCTTAGCTCTTGACTGTGAAGAGCCGCAGAAGCTGCTTCCTCTCTGTGTTTGAGCTCTTACGAGATGCACATATTCAAAGGGAGAAAAAAGCAGCAAGCTGGTGCATTCAGTGCCGAGCTGCTTTGGCCATGTGGCCCCCATTAAATACACCACAGCCCACAGCGGCTGCTTTCAGAGAGGACACAGATGCAGCCAAGAGAGCTGGAGCGTGCCAGGAAAACTGGGAATGCAAAGGTCTCAAAACCACCAGCAGCTGCTGAATGCCTAAATAACTTCAAGAGGGTGCCTGGGCACCCCTCTGCCCCTTGCAGTCTCTTCCGCTAAGGTAGGCTGGAGCAGATTAGGTTCATTTAACTTTATTAGGTCATTTAAGCACTAATTAATTGTAATTACATTGTGTTCTGTGTCACTAAACACCAGTCTGGATGATCGCTCCATTTTTATTGAGAAAATATTCATTTCTTGATAAAAGACCCTCAAAAACCAGTTACAGTCCTTTAGAAAGCCATTCTTTTCTAACCACAGAGCAGTTAAGGTCAGGAGGAGCCTCTGAAGATCGTCTAGTCCAACTGCCTCATTCACCACAGGGTCAACTAGAGCAGATTGCCCGGGACTGCATCCAGTCAGGTTCTGAAGATCAGCAAGGATGGACACTCCACAATCTCTGGACAAGTTGTACCAGTATTCAACCATCCTCACAGCAAAAAAAAAAAAAAAAAAAAGCTTTTTCTTATGTTTAAACAGAATTTCCTGTGTTTCAGTGTGTGCCTGTTGCCTCTTGTCCTGCCACTGGGCACTGCTGAGAAGAACCTGGCTCCATCCTCTTCATTCTTCCCCCACAGGTATTTACACACACCAATAAGATCCCTCCCAAGCTATCTCTTCTCCAGGCTGACAGTCCCAGGTCTCTCAGCCTTGTTGACAGGTGCTGCAATCCTTTAATCATCTTAATCATTTCCAGTATGTTAAATAATTTCTTTTAAATTGGCTTGAAAATTTGCGTAGTTCCCTTTCCAGTTGTTGGCATGGTTAAAACAACCATCATCTTCATGACCTTTGCTGGATGGCATGTTTGTTTCTTGCTCTCTAGCTTGATTTTAATGGCTTCTGCCAGGCAGTCATCACCCTCAAGGAAACTTATCAAGGCGGCTGTTTAGGGCACGAACTTAATTTACAACTGAGGAACAACAAATACTGCTTAGCAGACGGATACAGTGCTGGCACCTATTTGAGCTGGACCTGACTAGCACAGAGGGGCTATATAAACCCAGGTGTTTTAAAAGCACTAGTTTCATATAGGCTAGGTGGGCTGATGCCTTCCCTTTTGAGTATGTTTCTCCAGGTAGTAAAACGGTTTTGTCCAACTTATGGGCCTGCCCGTTCAGTTCCTTGCTTGGGCAGATGTCTTGCACTGCACAGGGAACATCAGTCGTTTGGATTCACCTCCCATTTAGAAACGAGGATGCAGTGTCGCAAATGAGTGACATAGAATGCGTAAGGAACCACCAACAAAGGTATTAGCAAAAGTGGGTTTAATATGCTGTTGTGAAAGTCTGACTTAAAAAGTTCGATGGCAAGGTTCACTCTATTAATTAATCCATGGAAAAATGATACAAAGGAAAATTGAGTTACACTCAAGTTAGAATGATTCGCAGCGAGACCAGGGATGCAAAGAGTAAGGAGGAACCTCCTGTTGAGCCACGAGGTTCACCGTAGACCCCCTTGCTTTCTGAACTCCTGACAGAGCTTAGGTGCAGCTAGGTCCAATCTTAGTCTCAGAGTTGGACAAAGGTTAATGTCTAAGGCGTTGTATATGCAAAAATTATCAATGTTTCATTAGCATCAATCCAGCATGCAATCAAAGTTACCATACACAAGGTTACGCATGATATCAGTCACTCACCAAAGATCTGCCATTGCTAAAAGGTCTCTCTGCCTCCAGGAGCAACAGTGAGAGGCGTCCCAGCTCACGGGGGGATCACCACCACGCAGCCACGCTGCCTGGCAGGAAAGCTCACGGGCGGCTCACCTAGGCTGTTGTATTTATGGAATAAAGTGGTTGGCTCGCAGTGAAATTACATGCGATGGGAAAGGTTCGCAGGAGACTCCTTGTACCCAGAACTAACTTTGTTCCTTGGTAGGTGAGTCTTGGAAAAGCCACCTGCTATTCAGGTGTTAATCGCGTGGTTGGTGTTCCAAGCTCAGGTGCATCGATGCTCACTGTGTCACTCCCCTCCTTTGTGGGTTTTCAGGGAACAGACTGGAACTAGAGGGGTTCACGGCCCGGCTACGGCTCAGGCCTTTGCCTCTTCCGGAGCCTGCACCAAACCACCGCCAGCCTGGTCAAGGGGTTGATCGCATCCGTTACGTGCATCCAGTTCTTTCCCACCATTTGCCTTGCATCTCGCCTGCTTGTCAAAGCAAAATTACTTCCCTGCATGTTTTCTGCAAAATTTGCTACAAAGTTCCCTGCAGCATGGCCTGGGCAGTCCTGTGACACCAGTAGCGATGGAGACCTGTCACCTTCTTGGTGTTGCTTTGGAAGACGCTTGACACCTGGCTAAACACCCTTGGCTCATTTTATGTAGCACCAAGCGTATAGAAACACTAGAATCACGTCATTTCTTGACCAATCTAATGCAGTTTCTGTTAACTGGCTTTCCTAGAAGATTTAGAAGCAAGGACCTTTATTCAGTAACTTCTGGGAGACAGCCTTTGCCTCTCTTTGCTTGGTAAGGCCTGTAACGAGAACTTCCATCCAGCAGCCAGACCAGCTGGAGCTCACAGGGTGCTGCTGGAAGGTGGCCATCGGGAAGGTGATACCCCAACAGCTCAGGAGATCTTCCTGTAAAGATTAGTTAAAAGGCACCCATGTAATTCAGTCTGTAAACTGGGAATACAAATTAATTGAAGAGGCGGGGTACACCAACTTCAACGCATCACCAGCTTAGTTGTGATTCTGATTGCACAAGCAAGCAAAGACTCAATGCAATTAAGTTCCCTGTGTTTACGGGAAAAAAAGATAATCCCTTCAAGTAGTTAAGTTCCCTTTCCTCTCCTAATTTTGCAGTAACCGTTGTGGTCCTAACACTCGGCTTCACTTTGACAAATCCTAACCTTTTCTTAATTAACAGATTTTTATCACACCCATATGGACCTAATTTCTTTTTTTTCCCCGGTTTATAAAGCTTCCAGGTTGTATTTTTATGGAACCAAAATATTTTAGTTTTACAGAGCTATACAGTTGTCAGCTGCCTTGTAACAAGAATAATCAGTGAAATTAAGCAGCGTTAGAAGAGAAAACGTCTTTCCGTATACTTTCCATATACTTCTCTCACCCGGCATCTTCT